TCGGGAACATCCACACCCCAGTCCAGAGCCAGCAGCAACTATGTTGGCCAGAAGCTCCCGCCATCTGTACCCAAGGTCAATTCGAAATGGGACGGTGTCCCCGAGTCCGTCAAAAACCGCTACTCGACATCAAGCGCATCAACCAAGGACAATAGAAGCAGCGTTTCGTCCAGGGGCTCCTTCGGCTCGCCTCTCAAACATGCTCCCTGGAACGAATCCAGATTTTCGGTCATGACCGACGGGACTCGTAATCCACCAAACTCAGTCGCCTCCATGTCCTTGTCGAATCTTGCCATGCGAGACGAAGCTTCTGGACTCGGATCCTCGCCATCTACCACTACGCTCCCTGAGATGTCTTACTACTTCCCTGACGACCCCGCTGCATCTGGCGCGTTACCCCCAAGATCTGAGAGCGCAGGCGCAACGTACGATTATACCTCACAACTGCCAGTTCGACTGTCGGACTCAACTTCAAGTGACCGTCCAAGCATGGACGGATCGGTAGACTCCAGACCGCATTCACCTGCTTCTTCAACGACATCGACGGATACAGTTGTCATGGATACTGCAGATACCATCTTCAGAAAACTCAACGACCGACCCAGCCAAGGTGCATGGGGAAGCGGTGCACATGCCGTTCAGTCACCTACTGAGGACAATTCTGATCATGTGCCTGACTCACATGACTTTCTCTTCCAACCCCAGCCTGGCATCGAACGCCGACAAAGTGACCCGCCCACTATATACGAGTCGTCCCTGGCTGCATCGTCAATCCCTCATTATGCCCCTCAACGACCAGTTCAGAATTTCAGTCGGCCGATGGCAACTAGGGGCCCACGACCAGTTCAACGCTCTACACACATGCCACACTATAGGAGGACGCCATCAGCCCCAGCGCTGCCGACCTTGTACGAAGCTTCACTGGCTAGCACCGACGATCTTCGACAAGATCGCGACGATGAAGATGACGATGATTCATATTCGATTGCACCTTCTACCATTGCACCATCTGAGCTCTCCAAGCATTGGTATGAGTCTCCGCGTGAACGCCTAGGTCTGGGCAGACGCCTTCAGATAAATGACGTCTCACCTTGGGGGGAAGAGAGAGAGGCCGCAGGTAAGCCCAAGAAAAGTCGATTGTCGATGTTTGGGAAGGCTGTGTCCAGAGGATAGGCTTTGCGGGCAAAGCTTGCGCATTGACTGACTCCCAGTGGGTAGCTTCGTGCGATCCCCAGCGATCATCGACCAGTGCCACACCGACACTCGCGTCCTGATACGCCAACTTATGTACAAACTTTTGCAATTAGCGATATCCAGCATTTTCCTCGCTTCGGCGACCTTCATGTACGGCGGCATTTCTGGGCGCCAGTTTCTCCAACATAGATACCCATTTCACGAATCTTACATACCCGCTTTTTAATAGATACGTCAATCCGCATGGCCCTCTAGGTAATGTAGTGCTTAGTTTGTTTTCTTGTAGGGCTGATCCTCATTATGATCGCATTCCGATCGGGGTGTCAAAGAGCTGCGCGGATCGCGCGTCCATTGGAAGCTTGGACATTAGGGACTTCTCACATCACATCATGGGGCGTACTATAATGCAACGTTTTGCGTCCATCACATGCTTTTCATGCAAGCCATGGCCTCACTAAGTGACCCCTTCGAACCCTTTATTGCTTCTGCCGCCGTTCTTCGGCCCCACAGTTGGCGCATATGCCTCGTGATCGCTAGGTCCGTCGAAACCTTAACGATTAGATCCACTCCCTTGCAGCATCGCGAGAGCACGCCTTTTTACCTTTACATTTGACAGGCCTAATGTGATTCGCCTAGCTGACTTAATTCGATGCGATCAGTCAATATCCAGTGAATCAACTCGGTACAGTCGCCGAGCAGGTCAGCCCGCATCTGGTATATAACACGATCCAATAACACACAGCACATCTACTCGACATTCGGATCTTACATAGCACGCTTATGGAATGCATCTTCTCCCTCGGCTGACCTGCTGCGCATGTGACAAGGCATGTATCGCCCCTTTCGAAATCTTCCTTCCATCAGCCTGAATAAGTCATGGTGCCACTAAGCTGATTACCGACGTACACCCACTAAAGTAGCTTTCTCCAGATCATCGTGGAGTATCGTAGTACCCCCTTGCGACACTAGCCTAATCGACAGGGCAGATTCGACCATCTCCGGGTTACCCATGACCAAGTGTCGTGTTATTTCCGAGAGAGAGAGCGACTGTCCATACACTGGTAAAGATACTTCTTGATTAACAGCACTACCCCAATGTGAACTTTATACATGGTTTCGCGATTGAAGTATATGCGAGCTTCAAGGACGAGTGACAAGGTGTGACACAGATTACGCGACCCGTCGCGAACTTGGTGCTGGAAATGGATTGGAGTGGGAACATTTTCGGATATTTGGAAGAGGAGAGCGTATAGGATATGTATTAGTGGAACCGACATTCTATATTTGCATACACGGCTAATAGTGTATAGATATCGATCGCGAGAGCAGAACTGAGCACAGGGTCGACGCGTGTTCAATCTTGATACTATGGCAGTAATCAGAAAGTTTCCCATCATATTCAGTACCGTCATTCTTTATTCGATCAATAGTTCTTACTGGTACCAGAACATGAAGCGTGTTTGGTGTTCGTCTGTACGCGTCCTGTGCTGAGGAGGTGATATTAATACATCGGAGAAGAACTGTTGGTCCGCTCTCGAACACACAAGAGTGGATCTTTTGGTTGTTTTGAGCCAAAGCTCGAGGTCCCATCGCATGTCGTCCGTCCTTTCCTGCTACCTCCGCCTGCCCTCTAGACGCTCCATAATCGTCTTGATGAAGCCCGTGCCACCTTGTGTTGGTCCAGCACGGAGACTCTCACATTCATAGCACTTACAACATTTCGTTAAATCCCGCATCGTACCACAATCGCATCTTCTCACTCTCTCAAGTCAGTATTCAAGGCCTTAGTGTAGTGTTTCGTCCTTTCAGCAGTTCGGTATGCGAATGACTACGTCGCACACTTTTTTTCAGTCAGTGTATGTTGGTGCGGTATCGCTTGTGGAACAGACTGTAGCTAGATCTTCTTTTCACCTCATCATTCCGGAACTGAATTTCCTTCATGTGAAAAAAGGCTACGATGTCGCCGCCGGCGATCCACCTATCTTCTGTGTGGAAGTCTCTGAAACAGGATATATTTGACTTAGAAGTTGTACTGTGTCTCCTTGAAGAAGTTTCTGTGAGCATTCCCAACCCTGTCTGTTTTTCTAAGTAAGCTAAGCCCCTGTTCAAGACGTGCTTGTTGTCTAGATCTCCGCATGCCTTCGAGTTTGTGAGCAATCAGTTGGAGTATTCTCATTGTAGTTATCTCCATGACCTACTTTCAGAGTTTTCCTCTATGCTTGCCCGGTTTCATAGTAAAGTGTGTATATGAACTGCTCGCCGCTTCAGTGCGGTACTCCTCGTTATTCTTGTTCTTAGGTGTCTCGTCAGCGAAACAAGCTTGTTTTGATACGGAATTGAGGAAGAGCCCCACTTCTTCTTCAGTATTCGCTGTAGAAACATACGCAGTCGTACAGTATGGAGAGTACAGTACGTCGGCTAGAGGGTTTGTTTTGGAGCGTCTGCATAAACGCCCGGCTTCAGTGAGGCTTCAGTCATGTCTGCGGGGCCTGGGTACCCGCAAACGCTATGATATCCACGACAGGTCTAGACAGCAAATTTGGTGCATCGATCAAGAATGCCATGTTATCGGCTGGGAAATGTTGCCAATGTACGATGACGAACGAGATTTTGGCGACAGGCTTAAGCGAATGCGAAAGTCTTACCGATGCGAACGCCAGCCCCCGCTATAGAGATCGAGAAACTGGAGGCACGCTTTCTTGCTGACATGGAAGACGACACATAAGCTGCAAGTTTCCTCGTGTGAAAAGATGTTGGCTTTCACCTCTCTACTCATGAAGCGAGAAGCTGCACGATGTCAAATACCAATATTCTCATACACATTTTAAATGCGCTCATCGGCGGCCTCTGCATTGCCATCCTTGGTCTTACAGCACACGCAGTAGCATTGAAAGATGAGCTTGATAGTATCTTGCCATCTAGTGTTAAGAAGACTGGCATGACGTTCCTTTTCTGGCCTGGATGTGGTGGCCTAGTCGATATGCTGCTCTTCATTCTATTATGGAGTTTGACCCCCTGGGAACAAGGCTTAGTATGTCTGTCACTCGATAGCGGTCTACAGAAACATGCTGACGGTGCAAAGACTAACAAACAAGCCGCATATCTCAATTGCCTTTTGTTCGTCGCAAGCTTCATCCTCGGTCGTCCACTCATAGTACTCATCTTTACTTTCGTTGAGTGGGGTCGTGCCGTCAAGAGCGAGACTAGTACATATTCCGGATATCTTACTGTCGAGACCTGGGCATGCGCGTTTTCGAAACAGAATGGGAACAATTTCGCAGACTCTCTTTGTAAAGAGCTCCAAGCAGCGCGCTATCTCCTCATACCAGTGCTTGTGCTGGGCGCTATGATGTTGACTTTGATGCTTCGGAAGAGATTCCTTGTTGCGAAAGGGGTTGTGCAGTAAGGACACGCTGCAGCGAAAGTCCGTTACCCGATGTTTTGCAAGTTTAACAGTATTCATGCTTCATCAATCTGACATCATAGGGATGATATTTGTGTAGTGTTGTATTGACTTTTCCACGGTATTGTGCATCCAAGAATTGGTGACGAAGGCGATCGTATAAGGGATCTGGTGCAATGGACCTAGGCTCGATGCTGAAGATGCGCAGGAAAGTCGAGGGGCAGGGAGGGGCAAGGGAGCTTGTTGGTCTAAGCCTAAGCGGGCTAGTGAGCTACGAAGCTCACGTTTTCACGCGAGATAACTACTGGTCTGAGACATCATGACGCCGCACGATACGCGTCGTGAGAGAGTCTAAATTGAACGTCCTCATTGTGCCAACAAACAAAGACCTTTTATCCACATCATGTCAACCGAGCCAGCGTCTTCTGTAGCAGCACCAGCACCTTACTATATCTCCAAATCGAATGTTTGCGTAAACAGCAAAGGTGAAAGCATCGGTAATGGTGTTTTCGCCAACCAAAGATTCGGGGCCGGCGAAGAGATTGCCAACTTCAAGCGCCCGCTTGTTGGCTCACTAGAGACCGAACGGCTACTCGACACCTGTGCGAATTGTTACCTCTGGACTGAAGGTTCATCGACTGGAACGAGGCTGTATGTACCTGAAGGGGCGAAAGTGAACAAATGTGCTGCATGCCAGAGATTTCAATACTGCAGCAAGGTATGTCGAGCTGGTGCTTGATCAACACACAAAACTAAGATGCATCAGGCGTGCCAAAAAGACGCGTGGAATCGGGGTCATAAGCATGAGTGCAAAACGCTGAAGCCCATGGTGGGTAGACATCTCCCCAAAGCTTTCCTAGCGTGCGTGGAACTACTCATCAGACGCAAGCACAATCTCATCTCCGATGAAGAATGGGAGCTGCTTTGCCGCTTACCTTCCCACATCGATGATTTCAAGCGCAGTGGAACCTATGAGAACATCGAACTTATGGCAATGGGTGCTGGTCAGTTCTCATTGTCACAAGACATGTTCGACAAGGATTTTATTGCCGCGATGTATGGCCGAGTAAGTTGCTCGTCGAGACCTACAAGCGCTCTTGCTAACTCGTGTTAGATCATGTCGAATGCCCTTACATTGATCACACCGACACTCGATCCTCTGGGTATTATGATAGATCCTATGCTCTGCCACATGAATCATTCCTGCGATCCCAATGCATACATCATGATGGACGGACCGCAGGTGAGCATTCGTACCCTACGGCCTATCAGGAAAGACAAAGAAATCTTCATCTCTTACATTGACGCTACCAACCCCTACCACAAGCGGCAAGAAGAACTTCGATCACGATGGTTCTTCACCTGTCGCTGTGCAAAATGCCAGAAGAAAGCTACCCTCCAAGAAGACAACTGGTTAGTACCAGCAAATCCTCGGTTCGTGTTGGGCAAAGACGAAATGGAAGCAATGGCCGGGAGCCAGGAGAAGGCTTTCGAACTGTATACCCAGCTCCAAGGAATGGCTGACTCAAAGCTTGTTATCGAAGCGCTTCAGGAAACTCTCAAGATAGGCTATGAGTCGAGATTCTGCCCAGTTTACCGTCAACCGTATGCCGCGGTCCGTGACGATCTGATTGTACACCTGCTCTCCGTAGGGAAGTACCAAGAGGCATGGACACAATGCGCAAAGCGGTACAAGCACATCCTTCCTAAGTTGCATCCGGTCCCTTTTCACCCGGTTCGGGTAGTCCAGATATGGCAGATGGCAATGCTGGCTGCATATCTAGCTAGCACCGAAGAGGGCGTGAGTGCGCCAGGGGTGAACATGGGCCTCATCGCCATGATGCTGGTGAAGCAGGTACTGGATGTTGCGCACCTGAGCCATGGACCGACTAATGCATTCACAAAGAGCGTGAAGGCCAAAGCAGAAGAAATGATAGAGGAGCTGAAAAGAAGTATTGGCAATCCGAACAGCGATGTCATGAACCGAGAACTTGAGGTCCAGAGAGACAGGCTGATGGATATGGGCGACTGGGCTAATGACGGGCAGTTTCTGGGAAAGGTAGCACCGCAAGAAACTATACAATTAAAGGAGAAAGCTTTCAGCGTCTGATAGGGTGATCAGTGGCATGAGCTTCTATAGTCTTTGAACTGATCCAGTACTTATCACTACCCATTGTACATCGAGTATCTCCCCACAACGTTGCAAGCCACAACCACAATGACTATAAGTACAGATAGGCTGAGCTGTACAATTGTCTCAGGCACTTAGAGCATGATGTTTATATCTTGTTCGCAGACAGACATGACCCTATATTTTCCATGTGAAGGTGAGTGGTAAAGCTCCACAGATTCTCACCGTCACCACCGCCCTGTTTTGACAACGAGTGATCTCACCACGCAAGCGCAACAGTGAGGCGCCTGACTATTTGAGCTCGTCCTCTGGCTCTCAATTCCATTCTCTTGAAACTGCACTTCAAGCTTCATCCTGCTACATCTTACGTGGCCAACGCGAGCACCGCCCAACAGCATTCATATTTCTTAGGACCACACTTCTTACAAAGTCTTCAATATGCCCCCCAAAGCTGCTACTCTCGATGGCCAGAAGGTGGTCCCAGCCGACTGCGTCTCTGTCCTCCTTATGGCCTTGGGCAGTACCACCATCACCAAGGCTCAGTATGAGATGATGTCGGCTCTTGACGGCACACGTACTGCAAGCTCTTTCGAGCATCAATTCCGCACGATCACAGCCAAGGCAAAGGAATTGAAAGCCCGTGCCGAAAAGGGCGAGACCTTCCAAGCCGTGGCACCTGTCAATAAGCGTGGTGAGTACTGATACTCTTTCGGCCTCTGATCACCACGACATTAACAGTATATAGGCCAGACTACCCCACCAACACCCAACAAGAGAAAGGCCGCTTCTTCAGGATCCGACGATGTGACCCCCTCCAGAAAGAAGGTGACTCCCAAGTCACGTGGAAAGAAGAGCCAGACCCCGCTTGAGACGATGGATGACACTTTCCCCGAGGACGCCGAAGAGTTCATTAGGAATGAGGCCAAGTGGGAGGAGGAAGTGTTCTCTTAGAGGACGATGGGCATGATTGGATGAAATTGGAGTCGCGACACGCATCGAGCTCAGGTCAGAGCAAACAGGCACGAGTAAGAGTGGACATGGTTCGTAGGAACCCCATAGTGAAAACCTGGCGATCGTCAACTGCATCTCAACGGAACCTTAGGTCGCAGTATGTTGGGTAAGACTCAGTAAAAGCGAGCTCCTTTGTAAACCCAGTTATCGAAAAAAAAAGATACTTGTCAGTCACATACTCATAGTCTACCTCAAAGAATTCAACATCCTGTGCTTGCTACTTTGTTAATGCTGAATATAGGATATACCTTTTGTATGCGATATAGTCGGGGTACAGCTCATATAAACGAGCTTCTTCGTTGCTAGTAACGCTGTTGAGTTTCACACTATTAGCGGCATGTTCTCGAACATCTTGCATATGGGCGATGGATTTCAGCATAAAGATTTTGAGCCTGCAGCACAGTGAAATCGACGATGCAAGATGTTTACATCCAGAAACATGCAAACATTCCAGGATACTCCCTCTCTTCGTACATGTATGACTACATCCACTTATTTCTCTTTTTCTCTAGGTTTCATTGAGCTTCTTGTCTTTCTTGGTTTCACATTGCCGATGCTGGGCATACATTTGGCTTCGCCACAGACCTGTAAGGATGACATGCTTTAGCTTACTATAAGCAAAGCGCGCGTAATGTACGCAGACATAGCGTATTCTGTTTCTCGGTAGCGTCCAGCTGTACCCAGCGCACATATGCAATAGCGAGCTGCGATATCCCTCTCTTGAACGTTGACCGCTTCACTCAATTCTACCGCGTCTCTACTGCCGAACATCTTCGTCAAGTCGAGCCAGTTCATAATCCAATCTCCTTTCAGTGGGGCGCAAATGTCGGGCCGTCTAGAGGCATATCGGCTCCGTGCTAAAAACCGTAAGCTCATCACCGGTGTCGCACCGACCACATAGTCTGGCCCCGAAGCTGGCAAAGTTGTCCAGGGACGGTCGCAGATCGCAGTCACGTCGGCGCATATCGATAGGGGGGCGATCAGAGCGCTGGTTGGAGTCGCCCTGGCTGGAGATGACGTCGCCCTCCGGCGGTTAAGGTCATGTGCGAAACCGGCGTTCGCACAAGGTGGTGGTGGAGCTGACTTGCCAGGCAGGGAAAGTCAGATGGTATGTGCTGGGGCGGCCGAGGTGACAGGGGGGAGGGGGGGCCGTTGGCGCCAATGCAGGTACACCAGCGATGGCGATTGTGCCTCGCGCGCCCACAACATCGTATCCAACGTTGACGACTTTGAACAACAGTCCGTCCCTATCTTTTTGTACTCGAACTCGCCTTATCGTGTTCCTGCAGGTCAGGCGACAGCAGGATGGCAGCGAGGCCCCTGAATTTCCCCGGATTATTGGGTGGCTTCTTCTCTAAGCTCCAAGCAGCTAGCATCGTGGCACGGCGGCCGTTGGTGTGCTCCTCATGCGCCGGGATGCTTTCGTCGGTGAGTGGCCCCAAGGCTAGACGCTCGCTCTGTTCCTAGGCGAGATGCGTCTCGAGGGCTGTGGGTGAGGAGGAAAAGGGGGCTCCTGGCCAAGCGTCTCACTGGGCGAACGGCCGATTGGGCGCATGAGCATTTACTTCATTAGCTTCAGAGCTAACTATACCACATTCGGTCGGCAATTTTGCATCCTCTGCCGTCGCTTTGGCGTCTCGATCCGGTCCAAGTCACCGTTAGGTGTCAGCGTATTCTTTATTATACCGTGTCGCCCTCCGCCGTCTTTTGTTCTTCACTCTCACGTCGCACTATCGCTGTACACAGTCATTCGTTCTCTATCCAACTACATATACCCATACAGCTACTGCAGTTCTAATACTCTAATCAATCCAACTACCGTCAACATGCGCTTCTTCGAGACCATCCTTTCCGCCGCGGCCTTCGCTGCCGCCGTCGCTGCCCTTGAGATCAACCAATTCCCTGCTGAGGGCGTTGTTGCTGGCCAGACCTACACCATCACCTACTCTCCTGCGGACGACACCCCAACTACCTTCATCCTCCGCCAGGGAAAGTCCACCGACCTTGACACTGTCGGCACTCTCACCAGTATGTCTCAGATCCTATTAGAATCTGATGTCCACAATGCTAACTGAACCGTAGCTACCGCAACCGGTGGAAAGTTCGAGTGGACCCCCGAGAAGTCCCTCCCCAACGAGGCCGACTACGCTCTCCAGATCCAGCAGGGAACCACCATCAACTACTCCGCTCAGTTCCCTCTCACTGGTGGCTCTGACGAGGACGACAGCCCTGTCTCCTCTGCTATCTCCTCTGCTGCTGCCTCTGCTTCGTCCGCTGCCTCATCTGCTGCCTCATCCGCCTCTGCTGCCATCAGCAGTGCCATTGAGAGCGCCAAGTCAAGCATGATCACCAGCGCCGCGACCACCGCATCTGCTTCCGCTTCCATCAGCCCCTCTGCTGGTGTCAACTCCACTGTCTCCACTGCTACCCTCTCTCGCTCCGCCTCCGGCTCTGCCACTGGCAGCGCCAGCCTCCCTGAGGTTACCGACTCTGGTGCCAACCTCATCGGCAGCCCCATCGCTGCCATGTTCGGTGCCGCCGCTGCTTTCGCCTACTTCGCTTAAGCGTTTCACTTCACGACTTCATAGTTTAATTGTCCCTTTACGATATATTAGCATTGGAATCTGTGGGAACCCCCTCTATCATCTAGTGTCAATCTAGTCACGCGAGCATTGGCGTCCGTGATCTGATGTGTCGGACGGGAACGCTATGCAAAGAGCTTGTATGGACGTAGCAGAAAATGATAATATGGAAGCATTTGCCTGATTTGTTCTCCCACTGACCAGTGTGATTGCTATATGCTTTCTATCTCATGATGTGTCGGATGTACTTTTGCTTCTTCGAATCCCCTCGCTTCCATCTGAGGCACACTTACTATGAAACAAGGCTTATGCTACGTTGCTTTTTTCTTTTCTTTTTTCTGAATGCTTCTTATCCACATCCTACCCGTAAGATGATCCTTCTTCTAGCACTGACGTCACGACCAAAAATCCGCGTGGTACCACATCCGTCATGCCTGTCAGTACCATGGTACGAAGCTCTCGTTGTGCGTCGCATGCGCGCCATGATCCGCACGTCCTTCGCAGCAACCTGATTGTCTGCAGCATTGGGTTCATCGCCCTTTGGCTTGTGCGCAGTATGACGCTTGGATCTCCACCCACCTGAGGAACTTGAAACGCGGAGTTGAGGAACGCATCTGCTTGCTCGCTCGTTGCGCGCTGGAAACCGTGGTTGACTGCCCTGCAGCGACCCCACAGCGGGATCAGTTCCCACCTCTCCACAGACGCATAAGCAAGCTGCAAGAACCCGCTGCTCGTTGCCACACCGTAACTACACCTCCTCAGCTGCTATGTTCGCCGTATCCTGCCTTTCTAAAGGTTGCAGCACTACAGCACTCACGGCGGCCCCGTGAACACACAGCCTCAGAGCTTCTCACCGGCGATACTCGCATCGCCACCACTAGACTAGCCAACCGGCATACACCGAGTTCTATCACGACTAGGTAGAAATGTTGCGCAAGTCTACACCGGTGTACCAGACACGCCACCAACATACCAACCCAAAGGAGCATAGACAGGTAACACTGCCTGCTCGTGTGTTGCGCGTCAAATACTTCACATCACGCGGTCAACAGCCTTCCCTAACCAACAAGCGTCTTGCCATTACTTCCTCGCATTAGCGCCGTTCAGTGGCGCTCAAGCAGAGGCTGATATGTCCGGTTTCTCTTGGAGCTTAGAGAACAATGGATGCACCATACAATATATTGCGCACCTTCAAGGCGCATACGGCTCACACCGCGTCGAAGAGTATTTTTAGGTGGCACTGAGAAAGGAAGACCAAACAAGGATGTGGAAGGGTGGTAAAACGGTGGCGAGCTGAGGGCTATGGAGCGCAGCTGAACCCAAGCCTCAAGCAGTGCGCAGTGAGTCTTCGCACTTTTGCAGAATCGTCCTAGCATCGAATCTCTCTTGTTCAGCCCGCCGCCACCCGCAGAGTCCGTAGCCCAACGTTGGGCGCCATCATGCAGTATGCCTCTTGTCCGCCTAGTCACTCTCTTCGCTTCCGCTAGCCGGCTTTATTGTACTCGCTGGTACTTCGGTATTATGACCGGGCTCTTGACATAATCATCGTTGTTAACATTTGCATTTACATAACATGTTTACCCAGATTTACTAAGGTCGTATGGTCGTCGCTGTAACAACCATGGTGATGGTTGCCAAGTCGAGTCGAATGCTTTGTGCTCCTCATCAATACGCTATGTATTGCCTCTGCACTTTCCATGCACTGCATCATATCTAGATCTATATACAAACTGATTCAACAGCACGCTACCTAATATTACAAGCGATATGGTAGGATCAATCCTGTCAGTCATTCATGCTTATGCTTGGTCAACTTGTAGTGGACACTCTTGATGCAACGATATAGCGTCTGAGAATCACATTCCAGTCAACCTCTGGAAGATGCTGCTCTTCAACATATACTCAATTTTGCCAAACACCAAGGATACTCAATTTCATTCCCATGGCTCTTCTCAACTCCGAACACAAGTCGATGCCGCTTCATTGTTCCAAGTGAAAAGCCACAACCAGATCATCAGTACTACTATCCTTCCCAGATACCCTAGTTGTCTGATCGATTGTCACCTCCCTATGTCCTCTTTTCGCTCTCATCCCTCTACACAAACATCACCCCCGCAGCCCCAGCAATCGCGCCTGCTAGACCCATCTTCTTGAACCCTCTCACCGGCACCGCAGCGCCAGTAGCCTCCACAGCCGCTGTCCCACTACTCGTCGCGCTCTGTGTACTTCCCGCACTGCTCGTCCCTGTCACACTCTGCGTACTAGCGTTTGTATCAAAGCTAGCACTCCTCGATGCGACAACACTCTGTATTCCACTAATTACTGTAACATCAGATGTTACTACGTTGGAAGTTATCGATGATGACGTATCGACTGCCAGACTCGGCGCTGCGGCATCTGATGTTGGGAGCGAGCTTGATGGGGTAATCACAGCGCTGTTGTCAACACTAAAGGCGTCACCCCATGTTGGTGTTGGGGAGGCAGAGGGAAGCAGGTTGTCTGTTGAAGTTGTTGCTGTGGGTTCTACAGTGAATGGCTCGCCCCAAGATGACGTTTGTGCGGAGGAAACACCGAGGAGGGAAAGGAGAGTTGTTTTTCGGAGGGAGGACTTGCGCATATTGGATGGTGCTGTTGAGTACGTCTGTTTCGTAGGACTTCGGTTTCGTAGTGCTTATCTCTTGCGATAATTATGACTCCGGCACAATACTTGATCTTTCTGTTGCACTCTTCGAAGATGTCGAACAATGAATGACGAAGTTTCAAGCTTTTGGCAATGGCTTCTTTTTACTTGGATGTCGAAGACCCTGGGCCCGCATCAATTCTCCGGATCATCACTATCAACCCACAAAATTGCCTTATTGAGCATGTAGTGCTCACACGTCTGACGTACAGTTCCAGCGCAAACAGCGATGCGTATCGCGTTGACGTGGTGAAACGACTTGCCTCTCGTTCTGTGATTGGCTGAGAAGCTCCGTGGACGACATGTGATTGGATAGAGTTACTTAGTGTTGTTTCGTTTCGGGTCTCCGCAATGCTGCCGCACGCGAAGTGACTGCCGGACCCCGAGGTTTGCAAAGCCGAAAGGATGCGCAATATTCTGTATGCACCAATGACTATTATAAGAACGATCATGTTGGTGCGAGGCTGATGGCGTGCTGTGGCGGCCATCAGTGAATGAGATACTACTTGTCCTAGGATCCTTTGACGATGCATGTGAGTGGACCACCAACAGCTCACTGACTAGAAACTCAATCTCCATTCATGTGAACCGATATGAAAGACTGGAAGCTACCATTTAACCAAATCCTGTACTTGTATAGGCAAGCCAGATTCCATGGACTTATTTGCACCAACGCCGACAAGAACAGCATTTCCGCCATCACGAATATACGCAGCTCTCTTAAAGCTGTCCTCGCCCTCGCTTCCTACGATGACATCCTTTAGTAGCAGAGGGTCTCCCCCGCCATGGCCGCCTTCGCCTTTGACGACATCCACCACGTACGGTTTTCCCCACAACGGATAGACGACGATATTTGTCTTCTCCACACCACCTTGTATGTAGTTGGCTTCAAGTTCACCAAGCCCTTCGTTGGTGATGGTCTCGCCACCAGCTGAGTATCCGCCCTCGACGACATTGATCTCAATGCGGCCCTTGCTGCCGTTGAAAACGCAACGATAACCCTCCCATGGAGCGTAAGCATACGTATTGTACGTCATGACAGCTTTGTTCTTGTACTTGATTACCATAGAGAGATTGTCTTCAATGGTGATACCTTCAGCGAAGCAGTTACGGTCACGAATGTAGCCATCCTCGTGCTCAGCCTCCAAATAAAGCTTCTTTAGTTGGGCATTTTGATCGATGTGAATGGCAAACGGGTCGTCTTTGGCAGCCTCGTTGTTGAGATACCGCTCGCCGAGGTTCTTCTCTCCACGTCGTTCCGCATTCTCTTTACCGTAGAATCGCAGACTGCCAACGCAGTAGACATTCTCCGGTTCGGTATTCAGCCAGTAATGTACCAAATCAAAGTGGTGGATCGACTTGTGCATCTGAATGCCACCACTGGTGTCCTTGTTCCGATGCCATCGGCGCATGAAATCGGATCCATGTGCGCAGTCCAGGATCCAGTCCATATGCACGGTCGAAACCTCGCCGATGACGCCTGAGTCGATAAGTTCGCGCATCTTGGTGTGATGAGGCGCATATCGATAATTGAAGAGGACACGAACTTGCTTTCCCGTCCTCTTCTCGGCATCGATCATAGCTTGGAGCTTCTCTTCATCGATGGTCATTGGCTTCTCAGTAATTGCGTCGCAGCCCAGCTCCATGGCACGGATGCAGTATACATGATGGAATTTGTCGATGGTGGTAACGATGACGACGTCAGCCTTTTGCTCCTTGACCATCTTGTCGAAGTCTTCTGCCTTATACATTGAGACACGCTCGCCGCCCAGCTCGACCATTCGATCGTTGGCAGCTTTCATACGCGTCTGGTTCGTGTCGCATATGCCCACTACTGCAGCGACCGATTTAAAATCTTGGATGATGCTTTGGTAGTAAAATGCGGATCTGACGCCCATGCCTACAATGACATAGCGCTTGACTTGGGACGAAGCCATTTTTCCTTTGAAAACTAGGCACGTAACTTGATGGTAAAAGGTACAAGAAATTGGAGTGGTTGACTGATGTTGATGAAACGGACCATGGAACTGCTTTTATACTACATCTTACTGTGTGTCTACATTGATGAAGAGAAGACCACACCCATGTACCGGAACCAGTGAAGCATCAAATCAAAGGTCGTCGTGGCAAAACAACTACTCGTGTTAACGATCGTGTCTCTCATTGTGGGTGTTCAGGTGGAGTAGCGGAACTGCGAGAGTGTACGAGATTAAGCCTGCCGACCCAGAAGGAGATTAGTGGTCATTATCCCCGCACTTCACTCCAATAGCGAGAGTGGAGAGGCGGAGACATCCAAATCAGGGTCGGGAGGAGGCGCATCAACCAAGACACGGCCAACAATGCTCCTACATGTGTCGCGCGTAGAGATGGTGGGTCGTCTTCTAGTGCGGGGTAGATGGTAGTTTCTCCTTTTGGGACGGGTACGACGACAGCTCACCTTCTTCACATCTTGCCTAATGCGGGTTGCGCCCGCGTCTTGCATGCTTTGAAGTAGCTTCAAACCGGGGATGCTGCTCGAACATGGAGATCGTATGGCAGTCGGGCGAAAAGGTTCCGAAGAAACGGACGACTGCAGCATGCCCAACTTGTCGTGCACGCAAGAAACGGTGCTACCACCTTGAGGATCGCGGGATTAGGAGGAAGGAACAAACTCACAGAGCCGAAAAACGAGTTCAAAGGCCCTATCAAGGAACCGATACCAGCGAATCTACCCCAAGCCCCGGTCGCGTGAGCGAGTATAACCCTGAATCCGTTCTGACAGCTCTGTCAGAGGATGCCGAACCAGGGATAAACACTTTAGCACAGACACCTCATCTGGTAGCATCGCGGCCTACTCCACAAGCTATAGTGCCTAGTCCATCTGTCGCATGCGAACCACGGCGCAGACTGGCATGGTACAAGCAACACAAAATTCGCGCCGCGCCGCCACACTTATCTGAATCATATCGAAAGTATCTCCAAGAAGAAGGAGCATTCACCGCACTGCCCAAAACAACTACAGATGCTCTCTTGTCTCTGTATAATTCGACATTAGACGATCTCGTGCCTATTGCGGATGGCCCTGCTGTATTCCGCCATCACAGCAACGGAAACGCATCTATATATTTGGTGAGGGCAATATGTCTCGTGGTATGCAAAACAGAGCACGCTGCTCCTTTCTTGCGCCTGACTGAGTCCGGTCCCCTGCTCGAACCTTTGAGTTTTGCGTCAAAACTACTGGCTGGACTAGATGCTGCTATCAAAGCAGATCTTGAACCCGACCGCATTATCAAGATTCAGATTCTGGCACTGATGCACTTACACAACGATGGACTAGCCGGCGTTGACCGCGCCTCAAATTATCTTTCCCAGGCCATCTGCGAAGCGTGGTCCATGTGTATACATCTAAAAATACCTGGCAATCCTGATGATACCGAGTGCAAGTATCTGTGGTGGTCACTTCGAAACTTTGATCGTTTGGGTAAACCAATCATGGCAGCCGCGCCATTCTTTATTGATGATGCAGATATTGGCGTGGAACGGATATTGCCCAGCAAGGATAGCTATCGCTCTCAAATCATGACTGTGGCCCTAAGGCTCGGAGACCTAATGACTATCGCAACAAAAGCATACAAGGCCAGCTCCACGACGATGGTTGATGGTTGCTGGGAATTTCCGACACTCCCAGAAGTTATGGGGGGAAGTAGTTTCGATGAGTTCCACATGTCACATCAAGGTAAGACGTTCCCCAAACTCAATCCTTCAACTCGCTTAAGGGAATAGCATACTTGGAGACATGGTATCATGTTGCCGCCATGTTATCTTGTCGCTACAATGGACCAGGCACTGTACAATACACCCGCCGTCTCAAGTCAGCGGATCGAGTACTTGCAATAGTCTCTCGCGAAGGGTGTGAAGGCCTCCCTCCGCTTCCACTAGTACCTTACGCGATGTCCATGTCTACTACGGTCATCTACCGTGCATTACATGATGGCGCAAGAGATATGATTGCAGCACGAGAAGACCTCCAAAGATGTTGCGATGCGCTAGATGGTCTCAGCCAACGATGGACCAGCGTGAGGGGTGTAGCTAAGCTTGCAAAGCGACTTCACAGACTAATAAGTGATGGGACATTGAGGGGCTTACAAGTTGCACATCGACCAACATCTGGTACCACCACAGTCTCCAAGTCACCCACATCCGCCAACATGAGTGCCATTACAGACCAAGTAGGAGATTTGTATAGCGATGAAGCTTTACAAAGGCAGCTCAGTGAGATATGGCCAAGCTTCGACGCATCCTACTCTCAGATGGACTGGGCTTTCCACGACTATGGCTTTGATATGGAGTTCCCTAGTCCCTTCGATGATTTTCCAGTTTGAGATTTTGGAAAGAGGGTGAGAGTCATTACAGGCCACGACTCAAGAATGCATAAACAGGTAGACAGGAGAGTAGGGGTAGAACATTCAGCCATACTCTTTCTACAAACTACTTGATTGGGAAGGAGCTTCATAGAAGGAGAGATGGAACTGTGCACAATATCTTTGTGATCTGTAAACGCCATGAAGTTCACCACAGCCAGATGGATAAGCTGATTAGCAGGAGACGCAGGCATATCGTCTTCCGTTCTACTAGACCATAGACAGACCAATGGGTTCATTTCTACCCTCACGTTATGTTCTCCAGTGTTCGTCCACGAAGCGCTCAGAACTACCCTCACTTTTCACTTCTCTTGTTCCTACCCCGGTTGGTAATGACAAACGAACTCCATGCTTCTTTCCCGTCGTGCAAATGGGCTCAGGGATCAACGGGAGTAACAAACATCGAGTGTGCTTTCTCCTAGAACACATATACGTTCACAAGCTCTCGAGCTACAGAATTTGCATAGTTGATAATACCCTGTGCACCACGCTTCGCCGGCACCGACAGTGAGATCCACTCCACAAACCAAGGTGCTACACAATAATATCTTATAAGAGACATATAAGTAGCGACATCTCCCTCCTTCCGCGGAAGGTTTTACGAAAGACAAGACCTTTAGAATTAATTGTTTAGGTACACTCATATCGCGATTGAAGTATTTCGAGCACTCCCCGGATACCCCACATGGCGCTATCTGTGGACCCTCAGTAACTAGCGTATCTCCCTCCATTACCTCACGAACGCAATGACCCGCTTCAGACCATAGGTATCGGTATCGGTTATGCAGCGTCGGCATACCCCTCCCGCCCGTCAACACTGCCCGTCGCCTGGTGTTTCACAAGTGGTAGGAGTATGGTCTGTTCGGTAAGGTTTGTTAAAGCCATTGACGTAGTACAAGTCTGACTTCAAGTATATACAAGGTTTCATGACTTCATTTCTTATATAGTACAGCATACTCAAATGGCTTGACCAACCGGTTTGTTACCCGAAAACTCGCCATTCTGTCCACTCCAATTCGACTGTTCATTCCCTACGCTCGGCGGCCTGTACGCAGCATGTTCTTGTTGCTGAGTCTGCCCTTGTGCCTGTGCATTACTTCCTATGTTCCCCAAGTTCAACCCGTCTCTCTTTCCTGCATCGAGTTCGCTAGGTGGCGGCATTTCCCTACCATCTATTTCCCAGACATTTGCGTTTGTAGGCATCTCATTACTTTCCGGTATCTTCGAATCGATGTATTGGTGGCGCTGTGGTGGCTTTTCGTCGGAGTATCTAGGCGCTGGGGTGGAGCTGTGTAGTGCATGCCCTGCGGCTGCCGTTGCAGCTCCAGCTCCGGCTCCCGTTGCTGTTGCGCCTCCGAAAGTTGATGTTGACGCCCATGGTGCTTGGCCTCCTGGTGTTATAGGTGAAACTGGAGACATCATTGTCGTCGGCTGTGTCGAGGACAAATCGGGTTGCGTAGGGAGTGTGGTTGTGGTAGGGTATGCATTCTGTTGTGGGACACGGGCATATGCACCCTGTGTTGGTGGGGAATGATCGGACGACGAAGACGCTGCTGCACTGGCCTCCTTGTCGTTCATGGCTGCCGTTCTGGATTTCCTCTTTCTGTGACGGAGGAGAAGGAGGATAAAAATGCCAATCAAGGCTAGAGCTGCGACTCCTCCTACCACTACACCAGCTATGAGACCTGTTGATGGTCCAGAGCTTGAATTTGAAGATGGTGATGATGTCGCTGCGGCAGAGCTCGATGAAGTTGATCCCTGTGATGCGGTGCTTGAGGCCTCGTTTCTGGTTGATGATGCTCCTGTCGACGTTTGTGCAGTACTGCTGGCTGTGCTGCTTGCATCCTCTGTTGCGCTCGTCGCGGTAATCTCAGCAGCAATGCTCGTCGGATTTGCTGGTGTGGGTAAAGCATTCACCACACTACCCGCTACACTCTCTATGATAGCCGTAGGGACCGCAACGCCGTTGCTGGACAACACTGAAGAAACATCGCCAACAATACTGGATAAGAGATCGCCGATCTGTCTCCGTTGACGCTGATGGTTTCGTTGTACTTTCTCCGCGCCAATGCTACCGGCTGCGAGACAATAGTCGTTCATGTAATTTTCAGCGATTGGCCGATCTGGATGGGATACCGGATTGAATGCATGGTTGTCAAAGCATGAGACGCGCCATAGGTACTGTTCGCAAAGGCATGTATAGTCTGGGACGGGCGTGGTATTGCAAGGAAAGTAGCCCTTAACCGCCGAAATGCAGGAAGTTATCGCACTAGATTGGCCGACGTCAGTATGTCCTCCAAACCCACAACTTAATCGCAACAGGAATGATATAATTACATCTGCTCATGGTTCCCACCCTGGCCAGTGGAAATAATGGGCCATCGCAACGCCGGCACAAGTTTGAGCAAGACACCAAGCATCATCGCCTCATTGAGAAGGTTGTTGACGGAAGAACGGACCCGCTTGAAGAGACAGCACCATCAACGCTTTAACATACTAGCCAGAGCCTAATTCTATCAGGCTTATGAAGTGGCGGTAACAGGACCTTCTATTCGCTAATGCTGTAGCGGCAGAAGCGGGGACGACCGATCCATCCATGTAATGTTCTGTTCCGAGCACCCGTCTCGCGATAGGAAACCTGTTGAATTCGATGATGTAGGTGTGGAGGTGCGGCTTGCTGTGGCGGTGCAAGCCAGGGGTTCTGTGAGGTTTAACTGGTGGGGGCTAGAAGTGTTCCCTGATCCAGATTTTAGCCTTGTGCGCTAACGGGCCGCCCTGATGACATCGCAACGTGGAGACGATAGCTTGGGTCAAGATCACCGTTTCAGAGACAAAAACGCGACATGCTAGGACAATTGATGTGCGCAATGGTATTACACGAGCTGAAGCGTTCTGCACGCTCTGTGCAGCAATCAAACTTGTGATACGTGGGGTATGGTAGAAAGTAAACTGCCGACTCCAGAACAATGCTCCGCTGAAAGAAATGGGTATTGAAGCACTGCCACAACCGTTGTCTAGGCCTTGGGAGCGAGTTTCGAGACATTTGATAGGACCTCACTTCCCGTTGACACCATCTCCGTGGCCTTCCAACCGGTTTACCAACCTCTTAACGCCACTCCACTCCTCACTACGTGTTTGCACACCTCCAAGGTCATCGCCCACTTCAAACACAGTGACGACGCCATCCATGCCACCCACTGCAACCCTGCGTCCCTCGTTCCTCTCCCATGCCAACTTGTTGAGACTACGGTTCATGTAGCCAAGACCAGTCGGCATGTTTGTAAACGCACCACGCTTGCCGTCACTAGGCTTTACAGATTGAACAGGTACCTCGACATCGACGTTGATATCCCAAACTTCGAGGCTTCCTGCTCCATCAACGAGCGCAAAGACTGAAGGCTTCACCGGCGACCATCGGACGTCGTAGACGAGATCTTCGCGGGCAATATCAAGAACAGGGGTGACTTGTTGTGTAGCACCAGGAAGTGTAGGGTTGGTTGCGCCTGTGGCAGCCGGCGGACGCACTTTCCAGAGTTTGACACTCCAATCAACACTGGATGAGAGGACAAGGTCGCCTAGATCGATCTGACCCTTAGCGGGATGGAAGTCGAGGCTCATGACAGGTGCGGCATGGCCAGCGTATTTCACGCGACCATCTACGCCTGCCTTCGCGCCAGCGCGGTCGTAGCGATGACATGGGTAGATGGTACCCTCTTCTGTGCCTGCAAGGAAATAGGTCGGATCCGATGGAGGGAAGGCAATACTGGTTACCGCCATATCATCTGTCTTCGCTGGTGGTGGCGATGTCAATTCCAGGAACTCTTGAGGCTGTGACAGCATATCCACAGTCCATCCGCATACAACACCGTCCGTCGAACATGAGATGATGTTGTTCGCGTTCTGCGTTCCGACAATGTCTAATGAATAGACCGGGTGTGTGTGACCAGAACCAGTTAGTGGTGTCTTCTGCACTGGCGCAGACTTGGCGCGAGTGTCCCAAAGCAGCACTTGCCCTGAGTACGCGCCTCCGATGATAAGATTAGGGTGGAACGGCGAGAACTTGGCGGTAAGAATATCAGATTGAGCGTGGAAGATGTACTCGGGTCTGTCGTGCATGTGCATATTCCAAACTTGTACGAGCCCGTCTGGGTCGTGCGGAGCGGACGGGTTCTTTGTATACGACGCAAGGACGAGTTCTGGAAACTGCAGAGTTTGTCAGTGTTATAACTGTGAGACGTTGCCTCAGTTCATACCTTTGTTGAGAAGCCCAGATCCGAGATCATCCTCTTCTTGCTCCACCGTTCATCCCAGAATTGTGCAATCTCCTTGATCCGTCGGCCCTTCTTGCCTCCACTGGAGCCATAACCCTCATCGTCGTCGTCGACATCTACGCCGCCAGTTGCATAGTCTGCCAAGATGTCGTAGCCAAGTTGTTGGTCGAGCGCTCGTTCCAACACTTTCGTACTGCGCTCCACAAAGCCAATGAAGTCTTCTGAGTTCTCTACAGCCGTCAATTCTTCGTTCGTGAGGGTCTTGAACGGGAAGTTCTCGTCTGAGCCTGGCTGCGGTGCACCATCGTCAGGCGCTTGCTGGACGGCCTTGAGCTCCTCTTCGATTTCTTTCCGCAGTTGCGCTCTAATCTTTTCATCCCTCTCTTTCTGTCTCCGGCTTAGTCGCTTGCTCTTTGGTGACCGTGTCGGGCTCTCATCGCGCTCTGTGTCACTTCCTCCAACCCCGCGGTCTTTTGACGGGCTCCACTCTATGCTTGCTTGTACACCCTTGCTATATGTGATAATCTCCTTCTCCTTCTTGACCTCGTTGGTGACAACGCCGTCAGTCTCGTAGACTGTGGCTAGCGGGCCAAGGGACAGCGTCTGCATTTCTCGGTCCACCATGCCGGCAGGCGCTTGGAAGCCAGACGAGCCTTCATTGTCGCTGCTCAGTTGTCCTGCGCTGACTACCGATGTTGGGCGAGTTGCTCGTCCTGCGCCTGCTGGTGAGCCAGGCTGTGTAGAGCCAGGTCTACTTTCGCCGAGGATGCTGTTGATGAGGTTGGTGACGTCGGTCCTGCGGTCGAGGTCTTCGCTGCGTCTTGGAGTTGGTGAAAGGACCTGGTATGGCCGTCAGTCACTGGTGAGACACTTGAGTAGGCAACCTACTTCTCCTAGCGGGCTACCGGTCATTGACTGCCTGCTAGCGGACTCGGCCTTTCTCAGTTCGCGCTGGCGCTTCAACTCGGCCAACTTGGCCTTCTTTGCGAGAATCTCATCACGCCGTTGCTGCATTGTGGACTCCATGGCGGAGATGTGGAGGACGGGATGGTTGTTGGAGTATGTGTCTTGTTGTGTGGTAGAGGGCGTGAGCTGGAATCCGTGGCTAGACAAATGAAGCCTCCCTGTCTCGACTATGCCCAGAGCAGGGCAAGGGCAGTAGGAACAAAGGTAGGCGCGTCGGGTGTTGCTCAACGTCGCGCCAAGCTGTGGTTCAGGGACGAGGGCACTAGCTCGCAGCCAGCGATCCCGTCCAAATCTTGCGCCAGCCAACCTCAACTTTCACAGCTCAACGCCCAACAGCCCGCATCCCCCCCACGACGCCCTCGTCACGACTCTCCGGATCCCATCCAGCGGTGTAATTTCCATCGCTCGCCCGGACTACCTGCCATTGGACACAGACGAGCTCGATAACGACTATCGCAAGTCCTCGCACGACCCTCACCATGTCCACTTCCGTCGGTGTCAACGTACGCTATGCCCCTCGAAGCGGTTGCCAAGGTCTCTAACACGGCCTTGTGGGACTTCTACTAGCTCTAGAGATGGAACAGCCAGGCTAATGGTGGTATCTACAGGTCCTCCGATGGTCCGCACTCGGATTCGGTGTCTTCTACGGTGCCTACCACCAGCTCTCGTTATCCGCTGCCGATAGGGCAAAGGCCGCACAAAAGGACTGGGAACACAAGGAGGCGCTGATCAGGCAAGCCAAGCAGCAATGGGCACGAGACCACCCCTCAGAACAGCCAAAGTCATCGGGAGGTACGTCAGACCGACGACACATGTCAAAAATTCCCAACCTGAACATGCGCTTGTACCAGTTCAACACATACTGACAAACCAATAGCCAAGGCGGACCCGAAAGACCCCAACGCCGACCTCAACACGCTCCTCGGCATAACCGACAAATAAGCGCGTTGAGAGTGATCCTGTTTCCTACATTAGCATGGGCATAATGCGGCCGTTTCCCATCGAGCCGAGAGGCGGCTTGGTGGGGGAGAGCAGTCAATAGTGGTACGACATCTACGAGATAGCAATCTCTTGTACTATGTACCTTTTGTACAACATAGACGTCGAGTTGGTCACGTTTTCAATCTACATGCTTTAGTTCGATCTCTTCATCTGTTGTCCGCTCGACACGTCAATGTACAGGTCAGCATGCTCGACTCCAAGGAACTAACTGAACAGTCACCCTGCCCCACTCATGCCAGACTACCCAGTACTCAACGAAACACTAACAAGGGAATCGCCAGCATCGCCACAGTTTGCAATTGGTCCATTGTCACAATTTCGATCAAGGAGCTGTGCTTATCCAAGAAGACAAGATTTGTTGCCAATCATATATTCTATACATGTATCATCTCCACCCCCGACCCGCCATGGGCAGGCACTATGCTACACAGACCATCAGAACGCGCAGAAACGATGAAAAGCGGAGCCTCGAAAAACGCCCTGCAACCCTTGGAAATCAAGAAGGGCAACAGAAGAGTAGAAATGAAAAGCGCTGAGAAGCGGCCAAGGACAATATTAACATGAGGTAGCCGCCTCCATACGCTTTATCAACCTTTGCCCCCAGCCCGACTGTCAACACGACCCGGTAATACTAATCGGATGCGGGGCAAAGGCTGTATAATCGCACATTTTCAAAACCTACAAGGAACCCGTGATGATTCGTTTCATTATCCAAACACCTATCTCTTACAAAACCTCGCCGACAATCTTGGCTGCCTCCTTGTATGTCTTGAGCAGCTTCTCGCACTTCTCGCGCTCGGCCTTGATGGTGTCGTCTTCGTACAGGAGCTCCTGGAACAGATCCTCCTTGTACAGCGTTGAGACGAGCCTGTTCTGTACAACGTCTTTTGAGTGGTTGACGAGAAGATGCATAATGGCCTTGGGCACCTGATCAGCGACTGTCTCCCGGACAATGTTGAAGTATGACGAGATGAGTCGGCGGATGAGCTCAGTCTCGAGGGCTTCGCGTTCCGTAAGGGCAGGGGCTTGCTCGGGGTTTGATGGCTGTCAAAACGTTAGCATTTGGTCTGCGTAGCATTGATTCAAGAAACTTACGAAGCCGCCTTCAAAGTTTTCTGGTCCCACGCTTGGACTTCGGGGAGGACCGCTCATGGCGGCGCTCAATGGCGCATCATAGTCGTCCGTGTCTGGTGGCATCATTGCCAACACATGGGCAGGCTGCTTGTTGTCTCCTCTTCGGATGCTCTGCGCGAAGCTTGGCTCGCTATTTTGGCTCACGTGTCGGCTGCCTGGCCGGTTATCGAGCGCTGCTTGTGCTGCCTGTTGTGGGTTGGCGTATGCGTTATTGCTGTCTTTGCTGAAGAAGTAGTTCAGGAAGCTGTCGCGTGCGGTACCTGGTGGTGACCGGTTGCGGTTGTTGAGCGCTGCTGTAGTGCTCTGAGAGCCATTCATCATCCGTCCGACAGCAGGCGACATGCTGCGGCTAGTTTGTGACTGGTGTTTCCGAAGAGGAAGAGCCTTCAAGGTGGCTCCCTCACCTCCTTCACCCTCCTCAGATCCTTCCCCGTTCTGACCATTCTGGAGCTCTTTTATTCTCCTCTGTTCTCGCCTCTTCTTCTCAGCCTCCATCGCGATCTTCTTTTCCCGCTGCTCCTTGTCATTGATAACGGATGACATGGCCGCAGCAGCTCCAAGGAAGTTGGGGTGGTTTGTGTTGATGTATGCCCTTTGAATGTCAATGAGAGAGGCGACGTAACCCGAGCAAGGGCCAAGCTGCTCTCGCAGAAGGTCCGAGACAACTTCAATGAGCTTGCCTTGCAGCCTGGGGTATCTTGTCAATTCAGTAGAGCCGCAGGTGTGGCAGATCTTGATGAGTTCCTCGTATACAAGCTCCACACAGCGTTGACTGGGTATCTCCAAAAGCTTAATCTGAGGCTTCACAAGGAGGTCGAAAGCAAGCTCAGGCACGAACAGACTAGGCCTTGGACCAGTCGAGTTGCGGATGGCCGTCCGAATGTCGAGTACAGAGAGGTTTTGGGTGGGGTCCACTTGTTCAAGCGAGTTACCAAAGACGGAGTTGAAGATGTAGTAGATGCGGGCACCACCACACAGCTCCTTGGTGGAGATTTCGGTAGAAGTACCATCGATAGACGAGATGAAAGACGAGGCAAAGCGCGTCATGAGTTGCAAGATGAGCGAGCCTCGATGTTCCTTACCAGTAAAGGCTACATCGCCATAGCTTGCAAGCTCTTGTTGTGTCTGACCCATAAGTGTGTTGAGGCGTGCCTTGATGTCTGGTAACCTGTCACGAATGTGGGCCATCAGGGTCTGGTTGAGGCTCTTAGCGAGCAGCTGGGTACCACATCGATTTGCCATGTTCCGGTACGCAGGGTGGTGTCGGAAAAAGTCCCGCTCGGCTTGCAGGGCGTCAGAGAGGGACTTGTTGCCTTGGATGTCTTGTTGTGACCGATTGACGATACCAATGAAACCGAGCTTGAGGGGGTATACACGACCAGAGAGAATATCCATGGCGTTGGTACCGTGATCCATGAGATCCAGCTTTGTAAGGACACCGATAGTCCTCTTGCCCATGGGGTCGACATGGCGGGCCAGCTTCAGAGCCTCGGAGTTTACGAGATCGACGTTGGCGGGGGAGACAGCGAGGATGACACTGTTTGGCTTTGCAATGTACTCGGTGATGAGATTCCGTGTCTGCTTCTCGATGTCGGAGGGCTGGTCGCCAATGGGCACCTGCGAGTGTTAGCTCCGTGTTCCTGGCAGAAAAAGTTGCCGTGACCAACCTTTGTTAAACCGGGCAGATCAACGAGCGTCAAGCTGAGGACGTGCGGGGAGTAGATCTTCAGGTTGATCGGTTGCCTGTTGATGCCCTTGTTGTTTCCTGCTATCCTCGAGGTTTCGTTCTCGATCTCGCGCTTGACATCGGCGAAGTCGTAGAACCTCTGGCCGGGAATGTGGAGAAACTCTCCCCATTCTTGCTGGCCAGCTACACTTGCGGGTGTGTGGGGTACGTGGACTTCGTCATCGTCGTCTTCGTCGCGTTCGCTCGGGAGGTTGATGAGTTGGAGGATGAGCGGCCGGCGTGTGACGATACCACTGCCACGGGGAAGGAAGTCCTTGCCGACGATGTTCTCGAGCACTGATGACTTTCCGGAAGATTGTGATCCCACAACGACCTGATCGAGTTAGCAGGATTCGCATCAGCCTCGACAGAGCTTTGTAAAATCTGCTCTGCGCTCACCGCATTCTCTTCTCTGGCTGGGGCGCACATACAATCTGGGGTAAATCTAGGGAATCATTTCCAATTGTGTTGAAGACCAGATCCTGCAGCCTGTTGACAATGTTGAGGAGCTCCTCACCCAGCGACGCCATCGCGCTGGTGTGTATGTGTGGTTTCTTTGCTCCTTACTCAAAGGGTCCGGGTTGGTGTTGAGCAGCCAAACAACACGGCGGAATGCTGTATGGGCCAAATGTCGTCCTACGGCGTAGCAGAGGTGTTACACTGTGCAGATGCAGGATCGGCGAAGTGACTGTGGCTGATGGCGGCTTCGTCGGGTCCAGAGGCTCGTGATGAGAGTGCCTTTGCTGCAGCTCCGTCGTCACTTCGCTTGAAAGTTCCAAGGTTTGATGATGGTGCACGTGACGGCCAGCATGGCAATGCACCCCACATTCAACATTCACATGTCTCCTTAATCTTAGTCCATATTGTTCATTCCTTTCGCATAAAGGAGAAGACACCCTCAGCTACGTCGCCAAGCACACGCGTTTTGTCAAAGCAAACACGAGGCTGCTGAACCCGACCATCTTGGTCGCGAGTCCTGCGAACGCCACCACACGCCTTGCATGCGGCTCGGCTCCAAGGCCGGACGCGGTACACATGAGCCTGCAGCAAACCGTATGTAGAGGGTGCACACGATCAAATGAGTAACAAGACGACTTTCCCTACCACCTGAGCAGCGTCAGCAGTACCTGGTGGTGCGCGACCCGGGTCGGCCTTTGACAATACAGAACATACGACTAGCCATCTGAGTTGGCGCACGAATCCCGTAGAATTCTTCGAGAATATGTGGACTCTGCTCTCCTAGTTTGGCCACGTATTATCGCATTGCCTCTGGTAGCTCAGAAAGTACCATGGACACGCTGGCGTACACGGTGTACACTGGATCGCGCTCGGGTATTGTCGGACCCTCGGGGATTCCCTTGTAGTAAGGCGACGGCTATCTATCAAGTACACCAGCCTTATCGCTCTGTAAGACGCGGCCACACGCGACAACACCAAATTATCAAAGAAGATCTCCAGCTCGTATCTCCGCATCCTGGGGAATCCATTGTGATCGTCAGGTCGCTTCGACGTACTCTACCGCAATTTGGAAAGGCTGAAGTAGCCTCCAAGTCCCTACGGAAGCACATCTCCGCATAAGCTGATAGGTTTACCTTGCCTTGAGTGAATCATTGTCTTATTATGACCAAGCTTCCTTCCGAAGGAAGCCTATCACAATGATAAGGTCTGTTATCAGGCTCACCGCAAACAAGTGAAGCAACAGCGTTCGTGCATCGACTACAAAGGTAACGTACCTTCTTTGTCGTTTGCTCCAATCTACTCAGTTATCCTCACCACCTCTGCACTGATCTTCTACCCGAATCTGTCCTGGGTATCCTGCCGCTCACAACTCTCACCTACTTCGCCCTGGTCATCTCCGACGGCTCCATGGCCTCGGAGTCCCTTGTTCTCACCACCACCACCGAAGAGCAACACAAAGACGTCACAGTGGGGACTATTACATGCACTGCACCTATCCCGTTTGGAGGAGAAGAACAATGGCTTTACTTACCAGCAACCAAGAAATTCGACCTATCTCGGGGTTCGCAGCAGAAAATGGTCTTCGAGTGCGATGAAGAAGGCCGCAACCACACCGGCTTCATGATTGACCCTGGTAACTCGGTCTTGATTGTGGTCGACATGCAAAACTACTTTGTTCACCCACTCTATCGAGATCACGCCGCAGGGATTGCCGCTATTGAACCGACATTGAAAGTCATCGAGAGATGCCGCAAGGAAGGAATTCAGATCGCCTGGCTCAACTGGGGAATCACTGACCACGACTTGAAGAAGATGGCACCTGCTATTCAGCGAGGCTTCAGTAAGAGTCTGGGATGGCATGTCGGGCTCGGCGCCCAGCTACCCGATAATCAGGGAAGGTGCTTGTTCAAGCGGACTTGGAACGCCGAACTCTACGACCCTTTCAAAGCAGTCGCTCAGCCTGGCGATTTGTATTTCGACAAGACGCGAATGAGTGGACTCTGGTCCGAGAAGGAGCCTCTTCACGAGTACCTCCGTGCTTCTGGAAAGCAAACCCTACTTTTCGCTGGCGTCAACACCGACCAATGCGTGTTTGGTACCGTGTCTGATGCCTACTCCTACGGATGGGACTGTGTCCTGATCAGCGACTGCACAGGCACAATGACGGGCCGAGGAGCTCAGGAACTCGCTGAGTACCAGATTTCGCAAAATATGGGCTTTGTCATCACCAGCAGCGCTTTCTGTGACGCGCAACTTTGTGAACATTTTGAGGGTTGCTGATTCAATCGCCTCTTCGTTTTACAATGGCGGTTTTCTGGACTTTTTTTTTGTTCTTGAGCGTGCTATCCAAATACCCGTAGAGCTACAGTATAGCAGAAATACATTTACATGACATCTGTACGAGTTGCGGTACTGCAAGGTTGTGTTGCGCAATTACGTCGTAGCTTCCCAGACCGTTAGTGGATCTGCACCAGTTGAGGTACGAATGACGCACGACACTGGGGTGGAGATCTTCCACTTAAGGACCTACCTCACGCAATAGCGGTCTCTTCGATACGCCTCTGCACTAGTCACCCAATCGCGACGGTACCTTACTTTGAAGCGACAATCCAGATAGAAAAAGAGCTTTTGTTCATAAACAAACGGTTCGCCGACACGATGTTTTCTCAGCTTTCGATAGGCTTGACCTGCCTGCTGCAGCTATGTGGAACAGCTGCGCTACCAACCGAGCAAAAGCCATTACTACTCAATGGCCCCAAGAACGTCCAGGCTGTTCGGACTAAGTAAGTATACCCATTGAGTTTATATTCCCTCTACTAATAGAACACAGACTTCAACATGCAGAGATAATTCCTACAGTCATTGACGATTTCCTACCTAGCCTCACACTCTCCGTCCTATGGTCGGATGCCAAGGCTAAACTCGGCAACACCGTTGACTCAGAAGATCTTCAAGAACAACCCAGCATCGTCCTCCACGATGACACAAGTCCGGACGGGATACACAATACCTCCGACATGAGCTATGTCGTCACACTTACAGACCCCGACGCGCCATCTCGCGACAATCCAAAATGGAGCGAGATGTGCCACTGGATTGCTTCCAACGTCACCACTGCGCAGAATACGTTCTCTATCCTACCTTTACCAGAGTTTGGCCTCACTGAACAAACTGAGTCGACTGATGGCGGCCCAGAGGACGTGATGGAGTACAAACCTCCAGGCCCACCACCAAAGACGGGCAAGCATCGCTACGTGTTCCTAATCTTTGCGCCAAAGAATGGAACAACAGATTCGCTGCATTTGAGTAAGCCGGAGGATCGTCAACACTGGGGTACTGGAAAAAAGGGTGGTGGCGTGCGAGAGTGGGCTGAGCACAATGGTTTGGTGCCTGTCGCTGCGAACTTCATCTACTCGCAGAATGATAAGCAGTAGATGTTTGTTGCTCTGCTTACAGGATGCATGGAATGCCGAGGGCACATGCATCGAATGTGACTATTCTTTTCCTTCGAAATTTCTTTGCAAGCGGAGAAGGCGTTTTGTTGGTAGCGTACATATTGTGTTGATACCAAGATTTCCGTATCGGATGCACGTAATAGGCTCTCTCAACACCATTAGCATGCCATGCGTTATCGTGATGACTCAGGACTCACAACGTCTTGATAGGTAGAGCAATAGCGTATCGATATTGCCGGCACAGTGCGTCGCCAAGCAGCCCTACGGACCACAGAGCTTGTGGGGTGACAACTCTTGCTCCACCGGGCCAGGCTAATTGCACGCACCCCGCGTCTTCAACCTCATCCACAAACAACCCGCGACCACAGCCAATGCTGTGATACTGTGCCGCGCATACATCATGTTGTGCGTCGTTCATGGTTCCGGTCAAGACAACCAAATCCATCGACCGCATCGCCTATTATCCGGACCGCTGATGCGATGAACCAAGGACATCTGCGTCAACCACCCACCCAGCCAATATCAGCAGTGCCAACATAAGCCTACGCGTTCGAGACGGGGATCACTCAAGGTCACCTCTACGTACCTCTTGTCACATATAAAGAAGCCACCTCGACCTTGATAAAATGAATTCAACGACTTTGTGGATGACTTGCGATCTGATTCCCGTCTTTCGCATGTCCGCAGCGATCACTTCGCCTTCAGCAGAGTCTCCTCTCCGTGCAAATCAACGAGTTGTGATGGAGTTGCCGGGATGGTCTTCTTTCACATCGTGATGGTAAGTATGCATTACATTGCTAAATGATAAGTATCTGTCGCGCGAACTTCATGCACAACTTACTGAGCAAGTGTAATAGTGTTTGCCAGTCGACTACGCACGGCAACCACGAGCTATAGATTAAACACCCTCCTATCAATTTTAGCAATAAACTGCCCTATAATGGGCCATGACGAGTATAACTTGGACGAATGAGGATATCAAAGGATGCAGACCATCCTCTTACCGGTCAGCTCTTGAGACTCCGAGCCTGCTGTGCACACGCACTCGTCAAATCATGTTGGACAACGTTGAGATCTGAGTTGGGTTTTTGCAGTACAACCATGATATCATTGTGTAGTGCCACAACACCACCATAGACAACTCGTATCCTGTGTTGAAAAAGCAGTGAAGCAGCATGGGCCTGTAAGGGTGCACCTACTAACCCTCACCCTAACTTACCTGTATCATAGACAATTAGGGTATATCTCGGTCTCAGAATAATCGAGTTATGTTACTAAAGTTGACGTGATTTTCAAGAGGTGTACGCAAGCACTTACTAGGTGCATGAAAATGGGACTAGCACATCACTCGTGAATTGACTTGTCGTTCTCCTATGTCACGACTTTCATTACATCATACTCCTTAGCGCGCGTTGATTTCCAGTACCGAGGGTTAGCTATATCATCGGCGAAAGCAGCAAAGATAGTCCAAAGGCAATTCCCACTACTTGAAGTACGAATATCTCAATTCAAGTACACCTTGATCGTGTGATTTTAGCGTCTATAGGAATGGAGAGATTATGTGCTCCAAAAATTCATAGGCTGTAGGTGAACAGATTCTCGCCAGAACTGAAGAACAAACTATGACCTTTCGACCTGCCAGAAACCACAAGATTGCTACCGTTTGGGCTACTGTTTGGGCTACCTCGTGGGCGAGTTGGTACAATCTCAGCCTGACACCTAAGCCATGTCCTTGTCCTCTTCCTCAAATGTAATAATGGTAAGAGTTTCATCCTCGCTATACAAGGATTCGTACAGATCCTTGTAATATAACCCATCTTCACTATTTACCAGAGTGCCTACATCTTCAATCCACTGGTCTAAGTCTTGGTTCCTGCCCTCATTTCTGATTAGATTGGCGTCTTTCGTATACCATTCGTCAATATACTTGGTCGCTGTGATGACTGTCGGCGCGTGGACAAACCATTCCAGCTCTTTTTCGCTATCTTCGTTGAGCTTGTGTGACGTGTCATCATTACCGTCGTCTTCGTTGGGGAACCAAGAGGGGTATTCCTCTTCATCTTCCTCTTCGTCTTTTGTAGCGCTTACGTCCATATCTTCCGCAGAACCGTTCTCCTTCTTGGCGATCTTAAGAGCATTGACGTCCCATACAAGCTGCTCAATCTGCTGGTTCATGAATTCTCGCTCTTTGTAGAAAATTTCAGCATGCTTGGCCATGGCCTTGAGATCTCGTGTGAGACGCTTATTCTCAGCATTAAACTCTGCGAGTTCCCCTCTTACCCCCTCGATTTCGGATCCCATGGCATGAATCTCATTGGCATTGTTTGTCGACCAGTTTTGGCTTATTGTGCACCAATCCTCGGCTTCTTCAGTTAGGTTTCTATTCATGTTTTCGAGTTTTGTAAGAGCCGAATCCACACTCAAGTTCGGCCGTTCGATCGTAGAATGCATGCGTCTGCATCCTATCTTGTGGTCCCTTATTTGGTTTGACAAACCTAGGATTATTTGCTCTTTCTTCTCCACCAACTTTTCTTGTTCTTCGATTCTCAGATTCTGCTCGTCAATCTCGTCTTGCGCCTTCTGGCTAAACTCATTGGCAATCGCTAGCTCTTTCTTGGCCATTTCTAACGAAAGCGTCATGTCGCGCAGCTCGTTGGCCTTGAACCTGATTTGACACTGCATTTCGTATGCGACGAGTTCCTGGGAGGAGGCTTTGCGTTCCGCCTCATTTAATGCATCCAGAGAGCGGTCAACGCCGGCTGCTGCCCAGTTGCGCTGCGTTCGGGTTCGGGCTAGTTCTTTGGCGAGTGCTTCGCGGAACTCGAAGTGAGTGGCAGCTATCCTCTGTGACTGTTCGAGGGCGGCTTGGGCATCCTTAAGACTCTTCTTGGTGAACTGAAGAACCATGACGGTATTGGAGATGTCCTTTTCGATAGTTTTCCTAAGGTCATCTATGACCGAGGAATGCTCAGCTTTGGCCAGATCGAGAGATCTTCTGGAATTTTCGATTTCAGCTGCGTAAGACCTTCTTTCCAAGGCTACGCCTTCGACCCTCATCGAGAAAGAGCTGCACATCCAACACACAAAGGCTACGACAAAGACGAGGTAACTCGTAGTGAGTGGGTCGTTGGAGGAAGACATGTGGAACGTTCCAGGAGAGCTCCAAAATGACTCGGTCTTAATGAGGAAGGCCAACTTGTCGTGAAAAAAAATCTCAGTGTGTATGCACGCGTTTGTAGTTGTGTGCGTTCGTCTTGAGCATTCAATATCGTCGTAATGATTTGTGTAGAAAGTCAACAAGTGAAGAACACTATACCATTATATACCCTAGCAGGAACCATTTCAACTGTAGTCATGTGCATACTCGGCCCACCGAGAGAGAATGTGCCATGGATAGCTGTTAGGATTATCATAATCTCGTGGTTGTCATAGGTGAGCCATGGCCTCAACAGTGGAAATCATAGATTTAGCGAGGTACAACCACAAGTAGTCTTACCCCACGTAGTGAGTACCGAAATACAGTTGACCGTGGAGCTCAGTAAGCAAATTCTATCCACAAGTGACCAGTTTCAGGGTCGTGGTATTCGATTCTGGAAATTTTGGATATGTACAACGAGACGCTGGTTATCCCAGTGCATCTCTAGAAGTGTCAGTCCTACCAACGTAAATCGTCTGGACATTTGATTGGAGTTGAAAGGGTTGGATTCTGCAACTTTTATACCTATCTTAACCACTTAGTCGTGCGTGTTGTAAATCAACAACAAAATCACCAATGCAAGCTAGCTTCCGATATCGCTCGAGACAGACTTGTAGCATCGAGTGAGCTTACTCATTCAACTCAACGTAGTTGGCAGGGAAGAGACCCGATTGGCCATTGTAGCTACCGAGCCACCAGTCTTCATCTGGAAATTCCTACAATAATATTAGCATAGGCTTGGACGGTCATACGAACGGACTTACCAATCCAGTAACTGTCGCTCCTTCAGGGAAGCTCAGCTCGTTATCCTCGGCGGCTTCGTAGTCGTAGAGAGCAGTAGCAGTTGGGCCAGAACCGCCAGCAGACTGTGGTGGTGCCGCGGCAGGCTCAGGCTCCTGCGGCGCTGAGGGATGCGCAGGTAGCGCTGGTGCAGCACCGGCATCGTCGTCGCCCTCCACCAACTCAACGTAGTTGGCCGGGAATAGACCACGCTCGCCTTGCGAGTTGGTGCCCATCCACCAGTCGTCGTCCACCATGTCGATATCCGTGACGTACTCGCCTTCGCGAAGCTCGACCTCGTTATCCTCGGCCTTCTCATAGTCATACTGGATGACTGCGCGCTTTCCAGAGCCACCTGCACCCTCATCATCATCATGACCAGAAGCGACGGCAGCACCAACGGCGGCACCTCCTACAGCGGCGGCACCGAAAGTGGCAGCTGCAACAGCGGCGCCAGCACCACGAGCAGGATCCTTAGCCTCCACTTGGGGCTCGGGAGACATGTCGCGTGCTTGTTGCTTAGCCGCTTGATCAAGCGACCGAGCAGGCATAGGTGGTGCGTGTTCCTCGGCAGGGGACATCTCCTCGGGTTCCCGTCCGCGAGCAACAGGCATTGCGATACGAACGGGAGAACCAGCAGGCTCGGGGGATGGGCTGCGAGGCGGCTGGGGCGGTGGAGAGGGCATGCGCTGGTGTTGAGTTGCAGGCACGTCCTCTTCCTCTGCCTCTGGCTCCTTGGGTCGGGTAGGCAGGCCCGGCATCGGGACACCCCTTGGGCCTGCGTTAGGCTTGCTGGAAGTGTCGAGAGGTGGTGGGCTAGAGGCTTGTGGCTCCGGTACAGGACGCGAAGAGGGTGCTCCCATGATGGGAGCGGCACCTGAGAAGCGATCCTTGAGCGAACTTACACCCCCAGCTGCAGGCGAAGCTGGTTCCTCCTGTTGAGGTGCGTCACCCGTACGTTGCTCACTGAGGTTGCTGGCAGACTGCCCTGTTCGGGTGGTCT